ACGAGTGAAGTTGTTAGGACGATCTCGATTGTTGCTACGGTTAATAAAATGAGCACCGGGATGAAAAGATTGAGTTTTATAGAGATTGGCGAATTGAGGTAAGTTTCGAATTTCCTTCTCCTTCTTCATTATGTATTGCTCTACACCATCGTATGTTAGAGGTTTCACCATGTCAAACACGTTTGATAAAATGAATTGATTATTTGGATGAAGAGATTTGATGAGTCTTCTTGCCAATTGTCCGTCACTAAGATCTCCACCAGCTAACATAAGTTCATCTTTCATTTCTCTGAATTTCGCCAAGTGAGTTTCTAAAGTTGTGCGATTATCTTGTCGAAATTCGTCCAATTCATTATCAAGTTGAAACTGTGCTGCTTCGGATACTGGAGCTTTATTTTCTCTAATGATCTTCCACAACTTCGAAGGTTCATACTCAATATCTACTTCGTCATCGACTTTGATTTGAAGTTTGGATTCGACAAAAGCAGAAGTAGAAGCATCCATACGATTGATTAAGAAATTGGTAAGACACTCTTTATTAGCGAGATGTTCTTCAGTTGTGATGTCGTCAGGTTTGTTAGATGAAGTGAGATATTTATCAAGACCTAAGTGTCTTAATGAACGCTTGATTCCGATTGCCCAATGAGTATAGTTGTTCTTTCCTAAGATTACAGTAGCTGATATTTTACTTAGATTGAAGTTAAGCGCTATTGCAAAATCCTTTTGAGTGGAAAGTACGTTTTGATTGGATTGGGAAGTCATGGTTAAAGATGATTTAGGTTGAATGGTATGAGAAGATGAAATGGATTTCTCTGATGAACTAGATGGATGATGGTCTTGTTCGTCAGAGGATTCAATGAGGAGATTGTCACTGGTATCGGCAGAGGAGTTTGTAGGAGATGGCGCGTCAATCGGCGATGACATATAAGGTGGTTTTGGCGTTTTATGATTCGAGTTCTTCTCTCGCTACCATGAGAGAATCTAAAGGAACTCGAGTCACCTTTATAGATGACTTATAATGCCAGTAAGCGGGCGTTAGTCTTAGCGGTTCTGAACACCGAAGACGAAAAACAATCACACCTTATAATGCCAGTAAGCGGGCGTTAGTCTTAGCGGTTCTGAACACCGAAGACGAAAAACAATCACACCTGATAATGGTGAGAGAAAGATAACAAAAGTATGCCACTTTGTTCCTCAGTGAACTGATTATATTATTTCATATAAAGACTGTTTCTAACCTTATAATGCCAGTAAGCGGGCGTTAGTCTTAGCGGTTCTGAACACCGAAGACGAAAAACAATCACACCTGATAATGGTGAGAGAAAGATAACAAAAGTCTGAAGAGATAACAGAGATGAGGATGAAAATAGATCAACAACTGTTTTATTCGGATTTGAAGAAGAAATTAGTATGAATCCACTTACATGCCACTTTGTTCCTCAGTGAACTGATGAGGAAAAAGTGGCGAATGTGGATGAAAGGGACTATATAAATGTGATACAGTGATTGGTTAGGTTAGAGTTTAAGTTTAAGTTTAAGTTTGAGTATTGTATGTGATCTTAATTAAGTAGTAAGTAGTTTGGCGGGTTTGACTAGATAAGTTGTATTCTAACAGCTTGCGCTTGCACATGAGCGAGCACCAACCAACAACAACAACAACACCACGCTGCCTAGTTGTAGTTGTTGAAATGGTTCTTACATCATGGCCACGGTGAACCAAGGTTGCTAGAGGAAAATGGGTAAATGCTATCCACTTACTCTTTAAATGCCATGGCATGCACAACAAACAGTGTCGTTCGTAGCTGTCTGAAGGAGGGATGTATACCAGCACCAGCCAGTCGGCCCTTTGGTCATCACCAAGGCTTAAACTGCTTATAAAATGGTGATGCAGCAGAGGGAAGAGAGCCCCCCACGCGCGCCACTTCCCTACATACCATACTGAGTCCTCACCGTACCTCTTTTTCTTTTGTTATTGTCTCCTTATCATAGCGCCGGCATTCTTCACAATTTCGATCTTTGTCTTCTGCTTCTGTTACGCATACTCACCAGATGCATGCCTTTCCCTACCCTCATGACGGCCATCCTTCACAACATAGACGATGTAAGCATCGACCCCCTCAGAACGGTGCCTTCAATGTGCATCGTCCACTAACTCCTGGGTTTCATTGTATGTGTGATGTTGGCAAACAGGCAAACCGCGTCAACCCCAACAACCTTGGAACGGGTTGGCACTTGTCCAACACGAACCTTGCTTTGAAAGGCCCCTTCGGAGGTCACGTCTTTGAACCCCTGACTGCTATCGCCTACGTGAGGCCCGCCGACAAACTTCAGCGCGCCAAGACCTACTGCATTGTCGGACCCTTCGGGCACAATCACAATTCGGGGGAAAGTGCAATCAAACACTCCCACAACAGCAAAACTGATGTAGTAATCAATCCTCAAGACCTAGGAGACCTCCTAGCAGGTAAAGCTGTAGTGAACGGCGTTGGAAAGATCGTTGATTTCTATTTTGAAGATGTAGACAAAATAACTGGTTGGGAACTCACTGTCAACGCCAAACACAATTGGTTTGACCCTCGGGTATGTACTAGCAATTGGTCATCATTGGTGATTAACCTGTCACTGACTTTGCTGCCTCACACAGACCGAAGAAATCAAGGAATTCATTATGACTTATCAATTCGGGCTGTTTACTCCAATGAGCTTTTATTGGCCGCAGATTGCTGTGGGGGCAAGGATGTTGCTGCATGGTTATGTTATTAGGAAAGATATCGTGTCTGGAAGGTTTATTGTCAAGGTCAGTTCACAAAGGCCTTTTGTGTTGTCTCCCATTCTGATCTGGTTTGCTCCACAGGTGCGCAGTCATGAGTTTCTTGAATGATATCAATTTATGCAGTGGAGGGGACATTTTTGGGTAGCTCTTGTTTACATGTGCTGTCCAATGTGGCTTTGATTTCTTGTTACTTTAGAGATGTGGAATTGTCCATTTGTATCTTTCCCTTCTCATTTTGTATCTTTCACTTGGTTTGGTGTCTTACATCTGATCATCTTGTTTGCCTTTGTAAATATGTGTAAATGTAAATGTAAATGTATGTGACAGAATCAGGCACTTAAAAAACTTATTCCACACCACATAACATCATCTATAGGGCAATCATGACTGAATCATGATTGCCCTATAGTCACATTGTGTGAAAGAATTTTGTACTCAGTGCCACATTTTTCAAATTGCATTGCTTCTCTTATAGCTCTATCTAGCAATCACCTCTGTTCATCCACAATTCAATTATATCATATCAACAAACCAATGTATCTATGGCATCTATGGCATTGAGGAGGGCTACAATGCTAAGCAGGGCGGGCACTGGGAACCTCTCACAGGGGTTGATAGATGCGGCGATATGTAATAGTTATGAAGAATGTAAATATAGTGATTGGGTGCATTGGCATTGGTAAATACTACCAACTGGCGGGGTTCCCGGTTGCTGTGTCCCAAAAAAAAATTGGACAATCATTAAGAGACAGAGACAGAAAATGGAATTGTCAAAGATGAGCACTCAGGAGTTGCCCAAAGTTATGGGCCACAGCCATTGGTACCCTGTGGAGGCAAGGGGGTTGCGGCAAATTCACGGGGCTAATATTTGGGTGACCACCTCATTTTTTTTTTGCCAGAGGTATGTGGAGTCACTTTCGAAGGGATGCAAACACTAGAATATTTAAATCTATCCTTAGTGTAGTGTTCTGAGTGTTGTGTGGGGTGACCATCATTGATCATCTTCTAGGTGATCAATGATGGTCACCTGACTCTGGTGGAGACACTTAGTCTGTCTGGGACCTCATTTACATTTGATGGTATGGATATTCCATCAAAATATTCAAAACCATTCACAATGTGACCTATATGTACCTTTCACATGCTTTGAATTTATTCATTCTTTGGATGTTTTGCAAAATATCCATTTGAAGGAGGAAAAGGCACCATACATACATATGTGCTGGCTGCCTGGTGGTGGGGAGTTTTCTTCACTTCAATTGGGAAGTGAAGAAAACAGTTGGCTATTATTGGGCCATGGTTGATCATCACCAATCCAGGCCCAAATTTATACATTCATGTGATTGTGGTAATTTTTGGCGTTTTTCATTATATATTTTGTAATGAAAAACGTCAAAAATTACCACAATCACATGGAATTGCTTTCAATCATGACTCATGGGTTGAGTCATGATTGCAATTGAGAAGTGAACCCATCAGGTCATACATTTTCATCATGCCACAATTCTTGTGATGTTTGTTTCAATCTCAAGAAATTGACTTAATCCAATTTTATTTTCAAATTCAGAAAAAGAACAGTAGGGCAATTAACTGGTAAGTTAGTTACTGATGACTGAGTTCTGGGTAATGATGCCCAACTAATATGCGGAATTACACTGTCACTAGTGGTGATAGGAACCAGCTAAGCATATGTCTGGACTCTCACTGGGCCGAGCATTTCCCTCGGAGCCATATGCTTAGCTGGTTCCTATCTCTTTTTTGGTTGACATTGAGACATTGTTACCTTGTATGCCCACAAGGTATTAATGATCAGGTGGACATCCTTAATATCCTTTTCAATTTGTTAATGAATCAGTGATTCATTATTAAATGATTCACTGATTCATTAATGGATTCAATGAAATCCATTCAATGAAAACATTTAATAATGAATCAGTCTCAAATTCTAATGGAATCATTGAATGCTTCTGTTAGAAATTAGTAAGTAGGATGAAAAAAAAAAATTCCAACCAAAAAAGGGAAATTCTAACGTCAAAACAAATGTATTCAAGAGAAATTTCAACCTCCAAATGAAAGTAATGATTAATGATTGTTGTGAATCACACAAATGAAATGAAAAAGAAGAGCTTGGAGGTTAGATTATCTTTTGTGATAACTCCTTGTGAAATGTGGAACAGACCATCACAAGAGGAAGATTGTGTGAATGGTCTGCATCAACCTCTCACCATCAACTCTGATGAGAGGTTGATGCAGACCCCGCGACCGTTTCACCGTGCTTCTCAGGGAGGGCAACACATGCTACACAGTTGAATTCCTCCTTAAGACGTATACGCGCCTGCCCTACAACAGCATTGGGCTGGTTTTCGTATTCAGCAGCAAATCGCCCGTAGCCGACTCGGTTGATCCAACCACGATACCGGTACATGGTGGGCAACACCTCCTTCCATTCGGTTCCATAATGTCGCTGCCAACTCAAAAGCATGTCGCCGTTTTGCCCTTCACGGTGCCAGGCGAGGAGACTGGAAATGAGTACAGATTTGGATGGCCATCTGGGTTTGAGCTGGAGATGATTCGCTGTTACATCTGTCGAAGTGACAGCGACGGATGGTGAAACCTATGGAAATTCAGACCGCATTACCAATCCATGCTGGCTAATGTGTATCTAAAGTATGATATTAACTGTGCTTACACTGTCTGAGGGGCAGTCACTCCCCAAGGTGGAATTGTGCAACGCTGGTACCTGTTGAAAATTGGGAGGCTGCTGGTTGTCCACGTCCTCCAGGTCATGGCGTGCCTGTTGGTCGTCGACGGGGAGTGCCTCGCGGTTCCGCTGGTTGTCCTCAGCCAGGGCGTCGCGTTCATTCTGGTTGTCCAGGGGTTCGCGTTTTACAATGAACCCTGAGGGGGAAGGGGACACGCTTACGCCAGGAGAGTCAGGTAAATGACTAAGGTCAACTACCATCGACATTTCAGTGCGCTCTGAAACCGGTGTGATAGGGCTATGGGCACTCGCAACGGCATCGAGTTGTTTCCCACGTGTGGGATCCGGTGAGGAGGTTTGGAGACCTTGATCGGGAGTCGAAGGAATAGAAGGAGCTGGTTTGGAAAATGGGCTGGGCCCTGAGGAGGATTCCCCGTGACCGTGGGCGGTGGTGCTGCGTGGTATGACGCAAGCACTCTGTGGCAGGCCAGGTGTCAGCAGATTCACCTTACCAAGCCGAACCACAATGGACTTGCTGGTGCAAGAGTAATGATGGGGGTAGTCCACAGGTATTTCGCGCTATGTGCCGGGGTAGTTTGGATACAGGTATTTCGGACTCCAATCAGCTCTTGCTGTGATGAACAGATGTTGGGTATTACTCACCCAAGCGTCAATCACTTCATCCCACAGGCTGATTGCGCGGTTCCAAACATCGCCAACCTCTCCAAGCACTGCCTGAATCAACAAATCACTTTCTTCCAGCCAGGCGTGTGGCCAGTCTTGAAAGTATGCTGTGATCACCACCGGTTTGATTTCCTGGGAATTGATATTCCAGGTCAATCAGCGCTGCTTTGGGTTCCAAACATGAGGTCAGGTTAGTTGCTTATGCTTACGTTTAACCATAGGTATACTGTGACCATCTTAGTTTCATCGTACTTCTTCTGGATTTCCGGTTGGTATTTTTCAAGTCGATTCTTATGGAGAGTTATCACGCTGTCCACGTGAAGTCGGCGTCCTAGCGAATTGGTGCTTTGTGCCCATTGGTGACAACGAGGCTCAGTGACCTGACCGCGTCGTGGGTTGATTTCGCCGGAAAGTGGGGTGTTGTTGGGGGTGGGAGTCAATGTTGGCATTGATCGGCCGTATGGAGAAAATGGGGTATCGGCTTTGACGTTGTGAGGATGAGCACGGCAAACACCTTGGCCGTGAGCATTGCAACACTTCAGACAAGAATTGAACGTTAGCTGGGCGGTTGTATGTGGTTTGAAAAGGGTGTGTGGATGCTACGAGCTCAAAACACTATGAGCACCTACCGCCTGACAATAAAGGAAACGACACTTCTTGTTGGCGTGCTTGCGATGTCCCTTTGGGACAGGGCCCTCCGTGGTTCTCTTGCACGGAACGGGTGGCGCACTAAGATGAGGTCCAGGTGTCAAGCCTGGCGTTTCATTAGTCATTGAGGCCGGCTGACTGGCAGAAGAACTGGCAGTGGGAAGATGGCCCGGCAGGGACCAGACCATTGGGTTGGAGAAGACGGGACCTTGTAACTCGCGCCCTTGAAAGGGGTGGTTGAGGGGTGTTGGGTTGAGTAAATCGCCCAAGAATGGCGTGAAATGGCGTGTCGGCAAAACCTGAGGAGGCAGAGGATCGAGAATATGGCCAGCAGGTGAGATTCTTGGTCCCCAGTCTTTGAACGTCGAGATGATTGGTCTTGGAAAGCCAAGATTGATGAGCGTTCTTTCGTGGTTGAACTGATCGCAACGCCACGTTCGTGTGTTATGCTGTTGAGAATTGGGGCACTGTGATGGACAATTCAACTTCAGGTAGGTAGGGAACACAGGGAATCGCCAATGACCCAATTGGACTTACCCCGATGAACCATGCGTCAGACTTGGGGGTCCAGTACTTTAATCCAGCATTGCAGACGGGGCAGTAGATCCCTACTGGCTGGCCCTTTCTTGATCCAGGTGCAGGTGGTTTGGGAAGGTAACCAGGAGTGACGAATACATAATCCAAATGGATTAGTGTCGCCACAACCATGGTGGAATGGAGGTGAAATGAGGTTGGATAACTTCGTCTCTGTCAGCCTAATGGTCAAAGACAAGATTCAGGCAAGAGCTTCAGCAAATCTAAGTGGTCTGAAGAACGAGAGAAATACTGACTGACTTATAGGTGACCAGGTTGAGCAAAGAGTGCCGAATGCGGTCAGGAGGGCTAGTAATGGAGAGTTTCCAAAGTGAAAAAGTGTTCAATTCGTGCGTGAGGTGGCAACGTGATGGATGAAGGAACATATCAAAACTGGAGTTGTGTGCAGGATGATGGCAAAGGTTGCTTTGTATGGGCCGCTCAGGGTTTTTGTACTTGGCATCGTGCTGCAGGTGTCGGTAGGCAAGGTTTTTTTTGGATTGGTGTGGTGGTGGTAAAATTTTTTCGTGGTGAAACACTGGATGGCAGTGAGGAAATTTTTGTGTGATATGAAGCTGGGAAAGGTGAGTGACATGGCACGCGTGATGGCGTAACGATAAGGTTTCTGACTTTATTTCGAAAATAATACACGCTAAGTATTATGCTTGTATTATCTTCGAAGATGCTTGTGGCGGGGACCCTGTACGCTGTATTATCACAATATTATCAGTATCAGATTATCAAGAATTATCAGGACGAAAACCCGGATCCTCAAGTGTTCCCGTGTGCTGAGCAATCGGCGGGGGTTGGATGAGAAATGTTGGACTCAAAGGCTCACACAGGTCTTTCGGCCATCTTCAACCCTATTCTGCTCTCTTCTCAAAGGCTAACTTAACACAAGTCCCAATCCTTGCAGGGGCTTTCTTACCTTCGCAAGCTCGGTGCCCTGGAGAGGGACTTGCGAATTATCGGCTGTTTTTGGTGTACCAGCAGGGCCTTTTGGGTCCCTGCGCTTCTACAATCTTGCATATTCTGTAGTTTGTGCAATACACAATTTCTGGAGAGAGCAAAATCTGCAGGACATTCAGATGAACAACTTCGGTTTTTGAACGAAGTTCATCGATTGACTATTGATCCTCTTGGAAGAGAAAGAAGAATGTATTATTTAGATTGTTTGTGAATTTCGTTTTAAAGGTACAGTCACAAAATTTCAAATTTCAGAAACTTTCTTTCATTTTTGAGAGAGCTCAGAGTGAGATACAAGAAATCTGAATAGACAGATTTGAAGGCAATAGCTACAGGTATCTCCAGTTAAAATGAGCACGAGGGTTGATTGAGAGTAAGTGGGTGTTTTTTCGTTTTGAAAAAAGCTCTCCGCCAAACTGTCATTTTAAAGGCCCTGCCGACACACTGGGGAAGGCCGATAATTCCTAAGTCCCTCTCCCAGACACCGAGCTTGTGAGGAAAAAATGTCTGGGCCACTAGAGGGACTTAGTTAAGTTAGTCTCAAAGGCGTAAACCAGTTGGTCACTTTTTCACCCAACCCCTAATAACAACTTTAGGAGGGTAACTCGAAAGGATGAACAAATTCAGGGTTGATACCAGTTTACCTTGCGGACACTGCAAGGCACTTGTTGTGTAGTGGAGTTTGAAGGTTAAGGAATTGGTGTCAGGAGCTTCGATGGCCAGGCATCGGTTTTCATAGGATGCGGCAGAGGAGCTTAAATTGCAAGAGAACAAATCAAGCGCATTACATTTACAACGCCCAGATCACAAAAAATTAAAACAGAAAAGGTACAAGTTCAGAACGTCACGTATTTCCGGCCACTTCCACAGCACAAGCACAAGAGCTCAAACAAAGTCAAGACTCAAGGCAGCACACGACAAGGCCCAATACAAGAAAATGTAAAGGAGGTGGAAAGAAAAAGCCTAAGGTCATCAAGCTCGTTCTTTTTTAAAAAAAGAACGAGAAGGTTCTCGCTTAGATGAAATACGTAGACTTTGAATCATCAACACTTGTAAACACTGTGGCTCAGTTGAGCTAGTGAGACAAACAAACGGGTATCTACTGTAAATAGATCCTGAAGAGCTGCGACAAGAAAGATGATGAGTAGAGGAGAAGCAGTCAGTGAGAATGCTGCAGGTGCCCAAAGGCACGACGGCACCTGCGTAATTCCATGAAAAAGGGAAAGGCGAGCAGAGCTCGGGCAGCATCGGTACCGAGAAGATAGGTACCGAGGAGAGTTGGGGAAACGAATCTCCCCAACGGAAACTATTTTGGTAAAGGAATTAAAATATTCCTTACCAAAAATTTTCCTTCCGAATCATTAACTCACATAATAGTTAAGCAAGAAACGAAAGTAAGGAAGTCTCTCAATTTCTTATAGAATTTTTCTTTTCTTAAAATAAAAACATCTCAGATTCAACAACCAACAAGTAGAAACTAGTTCAAAACAATCCATACCTCGAAAAGAAAAATTTCATCACGAAATTAACAATCATAACATAAAACCAGATAGACACTTAGATTACAATCAAGAATTTCTATCCAATTATCATAACACCTCATACTCAGTATCGTTCAAATCTTGATCATTTACATCATATTACCATCAACTTCACTCCAAAAATGTCAAACCCTAACCCATCGTCAGTCCCAGAAAGTATCCCACCTAGAGAGCCAACACCAGGCCAAACGATCGAATCAGTGAAAGGTCGAACCAGGAAAGGAAAAAAGAATGAAACAATGAATATGATGAACGAAGGAGGAAGCAACATATCAACCAAACAAGGTGATGGTAATAACTTAACTGGTAATTCAACCAATCCAACTTCAGATAGTCATACCAACTTAGCCGATAACCCGACCGGAGAAACCTCGACAGAAAATCAAAACGAGAATCCAGGTGACCAACTTGGTGATGAGGCACACGATATAAGTGATCAAAATGGAAACATAACAGGTTTAGTCATACTATACCCGTACATCCTTCTCTATCCCCAAGAATAACTCCAAGTCCGTGTCTGTTTAAAAAAAAAAAAAAAAAATCAGACAAGCTAAATCCCTATTATATCAAAGGGTACGACTTATAAGTCACAAATTAAATTAAGAATCAGAGTGGCCTAAGAAAACCTCACAGTGTGGCCTAAAAAGAATCCAAGCGTGGCCGTAATCAATCCTTAGCGTGGCCAGAAACTCTAAAAGAGACCCCAGTGTGGCCAAGATTGATAACAGTGTGGCTGAAATAATATAAAAATTTGATATCTCAACAAGGGAAATGTTATGTCAACACCCAAAAAAAAAAAAAAAAAAAAAGAGGAATCGTCCAATATGATTCTCGAAACACACATTCCCAATAACAAACTTCCAAAAAAAAAAAAAAAAGATACAAAACTTACCAGAGTGGCCGTTTTTCTTCCTTCAAATCTTAATTTGGTACAGGCCCTGATATCGAGAACATGGCAGAACCAGTCCACATTGAACATGGCCACGCCAAATGGCTGAACAACATACAACAAGCGTTTGACAGAGATATTGGCCAGTATCGAGTATTTCGTGAAGAGTATCAGTTCTGGTGTGAAAGTGAAGAAACTGAACCCAGAGATATAGGCATGATGGATTACACTTACGAGGCGAAGAGTGATGTTCAACCAGTTCAACCAGAAGTAGTTAAGGAGAAGTCAAAAACTAAGATTGAATCGAATACAAAGATGACTTTAGGTTCCTTACCATCAAACAATATGACCGGCTTATCACAATACTTTCATGACATTATGATAAACAAAAACGTACACATGCCAGTTTCAATCTTTGATCCGACTTGGATTATTCAAGATTCATTGTTTATGAAGGGAAGATCAGTGAAAACTAGTTGTTTGACGAATATCGTGTCATACGTCGGTCTACCCTACGTGAATGAATATCGGTTAACTCCCATGCAATGGTCAACACGATTTGATTTAATGGTGAAATATCAACAAGAAAAATATGACATACTGGATGCTCAAAAAGACTCTCCAATCGCACCTAGATTAAAAATTCATAAAGAAAATGTCCTAGTGATAGAAGCGAAGTGTTATGGGAAGTGGACACCGGCTATGAGATACGACATCGCCCATCGTCGTAATGTTTGGGAAAATCGATTACCAGATGGATCAATGGCTGACGTGGGAATGTTAAATGAGGAGTTGGCTGAGCGAGCGAAAGAAGACGCAAAACATTTTAACGATTATAAGTACATTGATAACCCATATGCATTTGGGAATGTGATGCAGAACATTAGTCCGATAAATGGAGAGACTTACCCAGAACACGCGTCTTGGGATTTGAACAATGTGCTAATCGACACTCAAGCTGAAATGTTGACTGGTAGAAGTTTGTCGTCAGTAACTAATCAACCAGTAGCACAGCCATTAACCAGGGCACCAGTGTCGGGGAAAGTGGCGGGCAACGGGTTCAAAGGGAGACACTATAATCCAATGTTCGACCGCACAAGCCCATTCTTCAATCGTAATCTTCAATCTCATGCAACCTTCTCAACTCCTTATCATAATCCTATACCGCCAAACTATCACAATGATTCATATCAAAACCAAAGAGGAGGTCGAGGAGGTGGTTGTGGTAATGGTTATAGGGGCAGAGGTTCGTCAGGAGTACATGGTGGTAGCAATCGTCCTGCAATTGGTCCTGGCAGCTTTGATAAGGCAGTAGCAGCTAAGGGAGGAGAGAAATCAGGCGCAGCTTCAGGCTCTACGTGAGTTGTAATAGAAAAAAAATTTTTTTTTTTTTTTTGTCATAAGTGAGAATTTGAGATAACTACCTTGTATCCTTCCTATTTGAGTTGTTATTTGGTTCTCTATGGAAATGATCCTGAATATGTCTTCTGTCACAAGATGAGATAGTGAACTTGTACATGATGACTGATAATTGTGTTATTTCTTCTTTGTTTTGTCTGCTTGAACATGAAATGACCCAAAGACATGTTACGTTGAATGACAGTAACCAACGAAACGTTGAGAACCACGTCACAGAGCCAGAGATCCCACAAGATACTGACAACGTTGAAGTCGACGCACCTGAGTCCTTGGCAAGTTGGCCTGTGGAAGCAAAGAACGAGATGAACCTAGTAGAGTGGAGGAATTTATTGACAGAATTTAACTTATTTGAGAAGTGGGAGAGAGTGTGGAAAGGACTTACTGAAGGTTTTGATCAGGGTATTCCAGAACATTCCTGGAAAGAAGAGCGATGGTTCACTCCCAATAATCACAAATCGGCATTAGCAGTTCAAGAGAAGATAATGAAAAATCTATATAAAGAGAGAAGATTTGGGAGGATCTTTGGACCCTTTACTCACGAGGAAGTGTTTCGGCGTTTCGGTTTCTTTCGGTCTAATACGATGGTAAGTGTGACGAATAATGACGGGTCACTAAGAATGATAAACGATCTATCTTACCCAAAAACAAAAGTCACAATTAAGACAAAGAGAAAGGAAATGTCAGGAAGCGATGAAGAGGCGGAATCAGAAGACGAAGAAGAGAACTTACGATCAGATGCAGCAATGAAATGGACGAGATCAGCTAGATACAATTCGAATGAATATGATATACCTTCCGTTAATTCTTTTGTCAATAAGCATGATTTCGATACCACCTGGGACGATTTCAATAAAGTGGCATGTTATTTCAAGGCAAACCTGAAAAAGAAAATTTTGTTAGCTATCGTTGACTGGCTGAAAGCATATAGACAAGGTTCAACGCACTCGTCACAATGGCGTTACTTGACCATTAAGGATTTTCAAGGACATATTTGGATAGACACCAGGATACCTTTCGGGGGCGTAGCGGGTTGTGGAACATTCGGGTGGATGGCTGATGCGTGGAGAGATATAATTAGAGCAAAGTTTAATATTGAGGTGGTATTTTGTTGGGTGGACGATAATATGTTTACGAAAATAGATGGTGACTTACTTGACATGAAAGATGTGATACAGGTCAGTAAGGATTTGGGCGTCCAATCCAACGACAAAAAGTTTTGTGATTGGGACGTGGAGCAGAAATATTTAGGTTTTCTATGGAACGGCAAAGAAAAATCAGTCAGGCTACCAGCAGATAAACTGTTAGAGAGGATAGGAAAAATAAAGGACTTACTACAACCATCACGGAAATGCTCAAAGAAGGAAGTGGAGAAGATTGTTGGGCAACTCAGTCATCTTATATACTTATTACCTCTTATGAAATGTTATCTATGGAATTTATATTGGTGGGACAAATCATGGTATAATCATAGCGCATTGAGAGAAGTACCTGTCGGGGTGAAAGAGGAATTGAAAGAATGGTTAAAGAGTCTTGAGAACTTCGACAGGCTAATATTCACCGAGGATGTCGAACCCACAGAGATAGAGTGGGTGGGTGATGCGAGTACGGGTTACGGTATCGGGGTGTTGATCGGTGAACGTTGGTCGAGTTTCACCTTGGCTGACAGTTGGAAGACTGAGGGGATTTCACAAGGCTGTCAGAAAAGAGATATTGCATGGTTAGAAACGGTCGCAGTGCGACTGGGCTTACTTATGATAGAGCAACTACGACCTACGACTAACAAAAAGTTCATTGTATACACCGATAACACCACGACCGAAGCCGTGGTAACTAAATCTAAATCGAAAAATAAACTAGTTAACGAAGAGTGGAAAGAGATTCAAAAGGTGCTTACTCGGTTGAACTGCTCGATCGTAGCACGTAGAGTTGCTTCGAACGATAACGACGCTGATAAGCTATCTAGAGGGTTAGAGGCGAACAAAGATCTTACTAAAGAAGTTAGAATAGACTTACCAAGGAACCTGCTCAAGATATTGACGAGGGATTAACCAGAATGATGACAAACGAGAAAAAGATTTTAGTCTTCTTGAAGAATAGAGAGGGGTAAGTGATTGCTTGTTGGGGTGTGGTTAGTAAGATGTGGTTCATTCGCTAATCTAAATTCCCCCCCCTTTTTTTTTTTTTTTTTTTTTCTCCTTCAATTGCCTCCGATGATCGATCTTGTGAATTAGGATTGTAGACTGGCGGACTAGTAAAATAAAAACGAGATTGTTAAACGGAGGTTGGTCACAGGCGACTCTACAAAACTATAGTACGGCAATGGCAAAATTAGAAAGATTTGGAGAATCGGAAAGACTTAAACAAAATGAATTATTACCTTTAAATCAAGATATGATGTGGTCTTTTATCGTGTGGGGCGGTAGGGAATTCAATGTTGATTTTGATGATGAAGACGTGTTGAACGAGATGAAAGCGCAACATAAAGTCACGGCAGAGACGTTAGTAAAATACCTATCGGGTATAAGATCTTGGCATTTGTTCCATAACGAACCTTTTCCTCCAGACAACGATAGGGTGTCCAAGTTACTCCTGAAGGCATCAAGTACGGCGGATGCAAAATGTAGAGAGGCGAAGAGTAATGTGAGGAAGCCGTTTCAACTGAGACATTTGGCCAAGCTTGTAATAGGTTTAGATAAAGGAAGTAAGAAGGATCATTTGGCATTAGCAATAGCTTTAATAGCTTTTTGGGGTATGGCTCGTTTAGGAGAGTTGGTATCTGATGAGAAAGGGAAGGCTTTAGTGTTAAGAAGAGATGTTATCTACTCACCAGATCATTCTTATTTAAAATTGGCTCTGCATAACGCGAAAACGGCTAAACCGGGAGAAGTGCAATACTTACACATTAGACGTATACCTTCACATTTATGTCCTGTCAGAGCGATAGAGAGAGTCTTCGAAGAAAGCCCTACCAATGGCTTATCCGATCGATTATTATTGTATACTGATGCAGGAGGAAGACGCTTGACACTAACGAAGACAGCGACGATGAATATCTACAAAAGAATATGGGGTCAAAACGATAAGAATCATCAGTTGTCGGGTCACTCATTCAGGATAGGCGGAGCAACTCTTAAATGGAATGATAAAGTACCTTTAGATGATATAGTGAAGGCTGGGCGTTGGGAGTCAAAGGTGTACGAATTATACCTTAGAAAGTATACTGAAGGAGATGTGAAGGATGCTAAATTGATTTGGGATCGAATGAAGATCGAATCGGAAGAGACAGATCAGATAGATAAGGATGGTTATTGTTGAAGTGTTTGATTAGAAGTGAAGAGGAATTGTGATTTAGAAGGTAGTCATGGAGCGAAGAATAAATATCATGTTTGTGACCGACAAATGAGCGAAACACTATTTGACTTGATAGACATTTGGGTTTAAGGGGAGGTTCGGAACTAATCTGGCCTCGAGACATACCGAAGTAGGCTCTCCGCAGGCTCCGGACGATATGTCCCGAGAATAGGTAGCAGAGAGCCTACCCGGTCAGAAAACCCGCGGCCTGTCGGCCCCCCCCCAAACACGTAATGAGACTTAGACATATCTAAGCCTCATTACTCAAGGTAATTTGACCATGGTGGCTAAGAGTATATGAAATAGAGATTATACATACGAGATAAAAATGATGAGACAATTAGAAGAAAGAATTAAATACATATAAAATAGAAAAACCTGCCCCACTAAGAAATGTGAGACTCTGATTAATGGAATGCTGCAGGTGCCCAAAGGCACGACGGCACCTGCGTAATTCCATGAAAAAGGGAAAGGCGAGCAGAGCTCGGGCAGCATCGGTACCGAGAAGATAGGTACCGAGGAGAGTTGGGGAAACGAATCTCCCCAACGGAAACTATTTTGGTAAAGGAATTAAAATATTCCTTACCAAAAATTTTCCTTCCGAATCATTAACTCACATAATAGTTAAGCAAGAAACGAAAGTAAGGAAGTCTCTCAATTTCTTATAGAATTTTTCTTTTCCTCCCACCCACCCCTGCACCCTGCCTCGCAGAGAGCCTACCCGGTCAGAAAACCCGCGGCCTGTCGGCCCCCCCCCAAACACGTAATGAGACTTAGATATATCTAAGCCTCATTACTCAAGGTAATTTGACCATGGTGGCTAAGAGTATATGAAATAGAGATTATACATACGAGATAAAAATGATGAGACAATTAGAAGAAAGAATTAAATACATATAAAATAGAAAAACCTGCCCCACTAAGAAATGTGAGACTCTGATTAATGGAATGATCGAGGTTGCGAAGGGTGAAGTGAGGCTGTGGAGGATGAAGTGATGTTAGGGGGGAGGACGCTACTCACTTTGGTCTTGGAGATAAATGGATGGATGGCAGATATGTCGGCTTATATACGATTCGGTCTCTACATCTCAATGGCCAGCTTGTGGGTCCAAGATCTGCTGCGCCGAAGTAACTCACGCCCGTATTCTCACACCAGCCCGTCGGCCAAACTTGACCGGTCCTCAACTGTTTTCTTTTACCACTGGCACCACTTTCACAAATTTCCTTAAACTTCAATTCGTACAATCACTCCTTCAACTTTATAAATGACCCACCAAAGAATCTTTAAATTTCCAAATACGATCCCATCATGGTACATAGGACATATGGCAAAAGCCATCAAAGAAATCCAATCAAAACTCAATCAAATTGATTTGATTTATAGAAACGAGAGATGCAAGATTACCATTACCTAGTATCAATCCGAAATTTGAAAATTTAATTCAAACTGATTCTAACCGAGACCAAGAACAAGACTACGACCACGACCACGATGAAAATGATCAAATAAGAAGAAGGACTATAAAGAAAAGTTTACCTAGTAGATTGATTGTTTATAGTAAAAAAGATTTAACTGATTAAAAATTAGAAAAGGTAAGAGCAAATCTTTTTTCTTTTCCTCTTTTTGAAAAACTTTCTTTGTAAGCTGATTATGTTTTTTTGCAATTTTGGTTTTTGGTGCCTTGATGGTGATTGGCGGGGGGTTTATGAATTGGATAGAATAGCCTCTAAAAGAAGCATTTGCGAAATCAGGTCAAAGAGTTTTATTCATCAATATGTACAAGACTCGATCAAGATATTAAATCAGTTCTTTATCAATCAATAGGTCAATAAAATACTCAAAAACCTTCAAACCCTCCAAAAAAACTTCACTTTTGAAACCCGATGATTTTTTGTATATTTTTGAATTTAGAAATCGTTAAGTCTAAATACCATTCAACTGGTCCTTTAACTTCATCTAATCACGATGGTCATGAAGAATTCGTTAAATCTAAAAATCATCATAGAAATCAATCAGATAGTCTTTCACAAGGATTTAGAATCATGGTCTGTGGAATGCCAAATGTAGGAAAACCAAGTCTTTTAAACGCTTTAACACGTGTAGGATGTCAAGAAGGTAAATCCAAAAAAAAAATCTTGATTTTCTTTTAAAAAAAGCTAACTCAAGCGTTTCTTTTTTGATTTTGATCGTGATTTTGATTTTGATTATGATTTTGCATTTGATTTTGACTGGATTATAGGTAAAATTCAGAAGCACCTATGCCAGGTTATACAAGATCAATAGGAGGTATAGTCAAGATACTCGAACCTTTTTTAAAACGTCATGGAAAATCAGTTTATATGATCGATACACCAGGTATCATGCCAATCTATTTAGGTCAAGGTGATGAAGCTTCTGCTAGAGCTTTTGAAATTCCAATCACAGGTAAAAACAAAACTAAAGTTAAGTTTCAGTGGTGTTACAATCAGTGTCGTCTCAAAAAACTTGTTTCCTTTTCTCTTACTAACAAAAGCGGAGGGGGGAGCACTCCAGTGGAGGAGCTCAGCGCCGAGTGTGACCACACTCAAGTACTCCCAGCCCTTTTCTCTTCTGCGCCCCGCATCTCGGGTCAGAACACGCTGCAATCCATTCCCTCAAAAAGAACTTTTTTTGTGACTACCCTTTGTCATTCCGGAGTCCTGTTAATACCCACATTTGTACTGATTGTTATTGACCTCAAAGTTTATCCTCTCATCAATACTTATTTGGTTATTTGTCAGTATTTCTTAAAATGCTTGTTCTTTGAATAAAAACATTACCACTACGAAATTTTTCAAACCGAGAACTTTGATTCAACACATCGTTTTCACATCATTCAGAGATCCATGAACACCAAAGAATGCCAGATGTCATATGCAAGTACTCTTTGATACCACAGCTTCAATGACAATGGCATCCTTTTTTCTTTTCCTTGGAAATCTCCTGCCCTGGCCCAACCAGAAGGCCATTTTCTCCATACCCAATCCATCTCCCCTTGATTGAACCTTTGCATCTGGGAAATTCTTGTAGGTCATACTCATACTCCTTGGTGACCTCCTCAAATGCATCCTATCAGTCACGCTGTTCATGAGACGTCCCAATACGGGACCACATCGATTCCGTCTTCCAAAGAACGATCCATGGATATGTCGGACTCAGCACGTCCCTGGAACTGTACAAAGGCTAGCTTCGTTTGGTTTCCTCTTCCGGTAACTTTTTCGTGATAGTTACGAGTTTTGATCGGTCCCGGTTAGGAACGTCTCAGACTCGCTTAAAGTAAATCAAAAACAAGACGTCTCGAAGACGAGACTGGCTGCCAGCTCGTGTCAACCCAGTGGTGTAGCATTAATTGTTAGAAGTTGGAACGGCTGTATCGATCAATTTATCTGGTGTATCTTTCAAGCAAGGCGAAGATACACTCCACAGAGCTTGATCAGTATATCTTATCAAATCACAATCCAACTCAAAGAGATATTGATTCTTCTCATTCATGCTCGACTTACTGTCATGGCATCTCACAACATCGAAACAATGGGAATCCAACAAGGCCAAATGAAATTGAAAAAGAGTGATCTGCATATGATCATTAAAACCAATGTGTTTGTCACAAGCATCCTATGGCATCACAAAATTACATAAAATGTGACTTTGTTCACATAAATCCCACAATCTTATGCATTTGTCTTTCACTGACGACTAAAAGTCCAACACAACTTATACACTATAATATACGAAAAGACGTATATATAATTGCTTGTCAATCATGACTTTTTCTTCGAAGGTGTCAATCATCGAAAAAAAAAATGTAAATAAATCTAAAATAATATTAAGAACTTCTTGATCTAATACTAAGACCGATGAGCAAACAAAAAAAGTATAAGGACACATCACATCAGTGTGTTAAGAAGAGAGATGAGATCAAAAAAAGTCTCTCCTGTCAGACCTCCCCATGAGTGGAAACAAAACGAGATGGTCGGGCTCCTAACAATGATGAAGTTCATACTGATGATTGTGGACAAATGGTTACAGATCAAATGATACTACATGAGACAGACCTTCTCTGGCCTTATGTGTATTTCTCTTCATTTCAGGTGACGGATAACACATCTATTGAATGACATGCAAGGTCATTGTAACACACAAATACTCAATCCGCATTTCATATACGACATGCCCAGTCCAAAAAAACCTACTCACAGATCACTTCCCTCCGTGAGCAGATACTAGAGCGTCTGGAATGAAGGCAGCTGTGATCTGCCTACCACCGAACCAACGATTATTTAATCCTGCGATGGCTTTCTGTGCAGAGGCAACTGAATCAAAAGTAATGTAGATCTCGCCGCCCTATAATACAGTGATGATGTTAACGACGATGATCTTACTTCACTTGAAGATTTGTTTAGGACGTACCATAGATTCTTTCTCGATTGCGATGGCCAATACCGGCCCGTACTTCTCTTCACATTCGCCTTTGACGTCATCTCGAAGCTCCATATCCCACCCTCTTTCTGTCTCTTCTTCTGGATTGAACATATTTTTCAGCAAAACAGAGCGCGACGTGGCAGTGGGAATATTGGGACGGAACCTAAAAATCGAGCCGTCTCGATGGTATCAATACTTTGGCTGAAAAGTGCTTCGAGATTAGGAAAATATGAGAAGCCTCCACTCACATATCAGTCACAGGCACATTAGTAGGTTGTTCTGTTCGAGCTAGCTTGTGCATCAGCTCCACTCTAGAAATCTGGTTCATGCCGGACCCCACTAGGAAAGCCAATGAATGGCGTCAGTAGCATAAACAGACGGTGTCGATAAGTTGAAGAACACTCAACCTGGTTCTTCTAGTCGCTCCTCAAAACTGTTAGAGTTCGTCATGGCAAAATTGCCACCTGTAGGAGTGACAATGACCGGGTTAATCACACCAGGAGCTGTCGCATTGAGTAGGGCAGCTGGCGGTTGGGCCTTGATCTGAGTGAGGGGCAATTAGCATACATATGTTGATGGTCTGTTCAGAATCAAAGGCACAAACCTCAACACGCAAAGCACGACCAGCCAGCTGGAACCCATTCATTTTTTCCATCGCATTTTTGGCATCGTGCATATTTTTGAATCTAATGTTCACGCATGTTAACAACGTCTAGAGTACA